AAATGTAAAAGCTGTATTACTATATGGTTGTGAAAAGTGAAAAATATGGGATTATAGCAGAGTAGTCTGCTATTTTTGGGCACCGAGTATACAAGGAAGATAACAGGGCCGGTGGTATGATTTAATCGTTTTTTATCCCCAGTTTTACCCCAATATACTCATTTTATTTAGACTGAGTCGAACTGAGGCCTGTATATATTTAAAACTATATAGATGTTCTCGCCAGGCAGCGCTATGGTTAGATACTAGTCCTTCTGCATGGAAATTAGACACTCAACCGCCTGAGCTATCCTCCACTAGGTTACCATTTCAGTAGAACTATAAAAAAAATTATATATCACGAAAAATAATTAGATAAATTCAAATGTTACTGGACAATTCGGAAGATCAGACACAGGTGTACATGTATAACCAGAATACAGTCTATCGACAACTTTTTGTAATGTAGTACTAGACAGAGCAATTAATAAACCATGATATGAAACAGACAGAGCTCCTCACACCATAGGATATATAGAAGATCTAATATTTACAACAAGAAACAAAAACTGTTTAAAGCAAGTACTGAAAACTCTTACACAGGAAAAGAAAAAATCAAATATACGTCAGCATCAAAAGACAAATTCCTTCGAGATTTTATAAAAAATTAATATACATTCCCAAATATTGTTCGGGAGCTATATTTAAAAAAAAACTCACAAACGCAGCAATAGGTGAAAACAACAAATAATATATCTAACCAACAGAAATGATAAATATTAATAATTCTAGAAAGAAATATTCTCAAATGAAGGGGAATTAAGGCATGTATATCATGTTATATCATGTTAGCATGTATATCATGTATATCACAAATACCAGCACACCTATAAATACAAGAGAACTGATGAGAGACGAAAATCTGAAGAAGAGTTATGCGAATCAAATTAATGAAAGAATGCGAGTAATAGAACAAAATGATGATATCGAAGAGATGGTCAATGATATTAAAGGAACGATTCTGGCAGTAAACAGGGAAGTTAAAACACAGATCAGAAAGAGAAAACATAACGTAATCAAGACAAATACAAACAGATACATAAAGAAATCCGTCAGAAAATTAAGAAAGCAAAAGAACGTTGGATGGTGGAAAGGTGCAACGAAATAGAACAATTGCAGGAAAAAGGAGATAGTTTTGGATTACATAAGAAGATCAAAGAAATATCGAATATACACAAAAGCCACCACAGAACAAGAATACGCAACGACAGAAAACGAATACATAGAGTCAGAAGACTAGATAGCAATGGCGTGGAAAGAATACGCAGAAAGCCTTTTTAATGACGAAAGACCAACACAACCAACGCGCAACTTCCTTCCGAAAACTTTATCAGGGCCATCAATAATGCGAAGTGTAATAGAATATGCAATTAGAACCACAAAGATGCATAAAGCAACAGGTCCAAATGAAATTAATATAGAAGCAATAAAACTACTAGACGAGGAGAATATCGAAATCTTGGTAAGGCTGTTCAATAGAATTTATGATACTGGTTACATTCCGCGAGAATGGCTGCAGTCATCTTTTGTAATGATCCCAAAAACAGCTAATGCCACAAAATGCAATGAACACCGCTTAATCAGTTTAATGAGTCACTTGTTGAAACTTGTCAAATGAGAAGGCATTTGACAATGTTAAACTTGATATCATGATGGAAATACTACATAGGGCCAACATTGACCAGAAGGAGATCAGAATTATTCAGAATCTATACTGAAACCAAATGGCAAAGGTGAGGATTGATCAAGACCAACATACAGATGAATTTGAAATCCGGAAAGGTGTCCGCCAAGGCTGCATACTCTCTCCGATGCTTTTTAATTTATATGTTGAAAATATATTTGCGGAAGCATTAGAAGATACGAAATTAGACATTAAGGTGAACGGCATACCAATTAGCAACCTACGCTATGCGGACGACACAGTGATTATAAGTGATAATTTGGAAGATCAGCAGTTATTACTTGATAGGGTGAAGAGCATAGGTAAAAAATATGGCCTCAAAATCAACATTTTGAAAACGAAATATATGGTCATTAGCAGAAACAATCTAGAAAACCCGATAATATGCATAGGTGGCAATCGTATAAATCGCGTAAAAACTTTTAAATACCTTGGCACCACAATCAATGACCAATCGGATCCACAACACGAGATAAAAACCCGAATACAAATCGCAAGACAAGCTTCTGTGAAATTCAGACCGCTTCTATGTAATCAACACCTAAACTTCGAAATACGCTACAGAATAGTCAAGTGCTACATATGGTCTATCTTGCTTTATGGCATGGAAACGTGGACTTTGAAAAAAACATCTATCAACAAACTTGAAGCATTTGAAATGTGGTCATTGAGAAGAATGATGCGCATACCTTGGGTGGATAGAGTTCGAAACGATGATGTCCTTAATAGAGTCGGCGTGGAAAGAGAACTCTTTGAATTAATTAAAAAACGCCAGATTGGTTACTTTGGGCACATATTGAGAGGAGCAAAATATGAAATGCCACAGTTAATCCTACAAGGGAAGATCGAAGGTAGGAGAGGAGCCGGCAGCAAACAATTATCCTGGTTAAGGAATATTAAAGAATGGACAGGAATACACAATACAGGTGAGCTGTGTCACGCCGCCAAGAACAGAATTCTAGTTATGAGATAGTCGCCTACGCACTTTGGTGTATGGCATGTTAAGAAGAAGAATATCATGTTCTTGTGCTACTGCCAACATTCTGTGGATATTTTTCTCACAATTATATCTACAAAAACATCAGTTTCATCAGATATTTGCATCACCAGCGTTTAGCATTTCATTTTTCAGTTTTTATGGATTCGTACCCATAGTATAGATAAAGCATTGATTTTTGTTATATATCAAATTTAATCAATTACGTCATTCGAATGGCTTACAATCGTTTAAATATTAAAAGAATTATATTTTCAAATTACTTCATTTGTACGCTAATTAATAAATAGATGTAATCATATATTACTTTAGAAATTTACAACATACAGATTGTATTGTCTGTTTGATATCCAAGCTTTGTATTTATGAAATTTTAGGTCGTATGATACATTTATATTCGCAACTAATTAGTGTTTCTACGTTTTTCGTGTAAAAATGTGTTTCATAAGGGTTGTGGCAATGGATTCACCACAGTATTTTAGTACCCATATGGATTGAACCAATACAGAAGTCTTGAAATTCCTAAATTTTTGGTTTTCTTTTTTTGAATTTACAAATATTTTAACAACGTTCTTAGAAATTATATACATATGTACTTCTTCTTTGCTATAAATGATTTGAAGTTAATCAAAAATGTTATCATGTTTTATCTACTTTTATTTGTTTACTGAATCAGAATATACAGCTCTCGTTTTGCAATAAAACTAATCTAACGCGAATCGTTAACTACCCTAAATTAATAGACACTAAATCAATAATTATTTTCCAAGTAGAGATTTTTATAGAGAGCAATTGTAAATGAACATTGATTAAAATAAGCACTTGCATAGCAAGTGTATTAAATGAGTGTATTATACAATATGTCTCAAAAAATTGGAATCGGAACCTATGTTTATTATCAATTTCAGGAAAAAAGATATTTTTTACAAAAAATCTGCACGAACTAGAAGTGAAAATTCTGTCATTAGATTTCAAATTTGTTTAGGTGCGTACGTTGTGGTTAAAACGTACGCATACTTTGTGGGACCTTATCCTTTTCGGATACCTGATTATCTACGATACTAGGCTTCTGGACGTCTTTTCCTGTAGGTACTATTTTTGGCAACGTACCTACTTCGCTGATAGACTGTCTTCAACAACCATTTGTCTAGACCCTGATTGGATTGTCAACCAGGTTCTGGGATTCTCGATATATCCCCTGCACCCTATTTTTTGTGAAGATATCCCTGGTCTTAAGGAGTCTTCTTGTGGCCTGGTCGAAAAATTTTTTGCTTTACACTTGGCCACTTTTGTCAGTAGTGTGTACTGGAGCCTGTCTTGTATGATTGTATAAGATACCCTGTCTTGCCATGATGATCTATTTATTAATCTGTACCATGCCGCATATGGTATTACAAGTTTTTTTTTGCAGTTGGTCTCCTCTATTAAACTCCATACTCAGACTGTTAATAATTTTCTTGGATATCTTGGATGTTTCTTGTGAAGATGAGTTTTCTGTCGAAGTTGACTACAAGGTACGTAACGACTTTCTTTTTGAATTGGGTTTCTTCTCATCTTCATCCAAAAGATAGTTAATGGGGGGGGGTATTGTCTGTGTTAATACTTTTCTGCTATTTATACATATTATTAGCTATTCTCTCTAGGTGGTATTTAAGTCTCTCGACGATTCTTCTTTTATTGTCTTTGGCTATAACACATATTAGCTTGTAGTCTGCATATAAGCTGTGTTGTTTGTCCAGGCATCAGTGAGCAGATTTGAAACAAAAATAATATACAGTAATACTGCTAATATTCTGCTTTAAGATATCCGTTCATGAGCTGCTTGCATGCTGGAAATATTTTGGTCAGCTAACGCTTGAAAAAAGTTTTATTGGTCAAATATATATATCACATATGCTGAATTGTTAATAAAACAGTCTAGCTTTTTCCATTTTGTACATTAGAATTTTTTTACACTATGTCATAAGTTTTTCCATGTCCACTATGGCTATTCCTGTTGTTTCGTTTTTGTTAAAGTCGATTTTTACATCACTGAGCAATCTTGCTATTTGTAATTCATAATTTCTTCCTTTTATTAATTTAATTTGGTCTTGTTGGCCGACTTTTGTTTTTTCTGCATTTTCATAGTCTTTTGTAGATAGTTCTTTCAACATTTTTCTCAGTGATTCCAGAATAATATTGACCTGTATCTTTCTGGCCCTTTTCCATTCATCTTAAATTTTAGTAGAGGAATATTTTTTGCCTGTTTCCAGTTGTGTGGAAAATATGCGTGTTCTAGGCGTTCTAGGTGTTGTTCCTATGAGGCTCCATTCGGTTATTCTCTTTATCTATTTGCTGTCGCTAGTTCTTCTTACGTGTCCATAACAATTTAGTATTTTTTGTTCTATATATGTTGGTGTGTCTGTTTCTATTGATGTTCTTTGCTTTATTTCGTCATTACTTCTCCCATCCATTCTTGTAATTCTGCAGCATCTTTGCAGGCATTCCATCTCTGTTGCTACTATCTTACTGCTGTTTTTCTTGTTTATAATCCAATTTTCCGCCCCATATGTCATAATACTTCGCACTAATGTTTTATAAATATATGTTTTTGTCTTCATATTTAGATGTCTATCCCACCATACTGAGTTAAGTTGTCAAATTGCTGTTGTTTTTTGTCCTAATCTTTGTGTAATTTCTTCCTCTGTTGTGCATTTTTCGTGATTATAAACCCCAAGTATTTGAATTTTTCCTTTCCTTTGATTGTAACGTTGTCATCATTCTGTAGATCTTCTTTGTCTTCTTCACTTGTAGATAGGTACTCTGTTTTGTATGTAGCTTAACTGTCTGCAAAGCTTAACGTATATAGGTATTCGTTTCGTACCGGTACTCCCATGCCTTTCCATTTTTTTTTCATGTGGTCAAGTATTTCTCTAAGTATATTTTGAATAGGGTTGGAGATGTGGAACAACCCTGCAGGAGCCCTTTTGTTGTGGTGAATTCTCCTATGATGCTTGTTCCCACTTTAATGGACACTTTGATTTAACTATATTTAAGATTGGCACCATATACTTTTGTTTTTAATTTATTTTTTAGTTATACCAATAACAAAACCTAAAATAAACAAAATGGCGAAGAAATAAAAAACGATTTCATCTCAATACCTATCACTTTATATGACTCGTCTAACTAATGTTTTAATTCTAAAATTTTAAGTCTTTAGGTGGCTTTAGAATGTTTTCTTTTTCTCAATTTTTTTGTAGATTTTTATGACAAGTTAAAAAATATTCACTTCGTAGTAGCTAATTTTTTACAGTTGGTCAATAAAAACAACGAATAGATAACGAAGAGATTAGTTGATATTATTAACATTATCACAATAAGAAATAATTCATATATATAGATATATATATATATATATATATATATATATATATATATATATATATATATATATATATATATATATATATATATAGTGTTAATCACAGCTGATTAAGTTAGAAGATAAAACCAAGTTAGACTCTTTGGGTAAAAACAGCTGAAAGGATAGGCTAAGTGTACTCTTTGGTCCTTTATTGATCCAATATTTCGTTGATAGTTATCAACATCATCAGGGATAAGCTACAATTAGTTTACATGAAAATTGACAATCTGTTATAAATACGTTGATCTTACTTACGATTTTGAGAATGGTGCCGTAAAAGCTGGTCAAATTTATAAAATTTTGTGAGAAAAATTGTATAAGTTTTTTTCTCACAAAATAAAAACAGAAAAAACATGTAATGTTAAAATTCACTAAGACTGGTACAAAGACAATGCACAATTTCAACTAATTGTGTGTAGGACCGAATGTCCTCTCTCGAGAGTTTTACATCTTATAAATTCTTAATACAGTTTAATAAGAAATAAGAATTTATAAGATGTAAAACTCTCGAGAGAGGACATTCGGTCCTACATACAATTAGTTGAAATTGTGCATTGTCTTTGTACCAGTCTTAGTGAATTTTAACATTACATGTTTTTTCTGTTTTTCTTTTGTGAGAAAAAAACTTATACAATTTTTCTCACAAAAATTTTATAAATTTGACCAGCTTTTACGGCACCATTCTCAAAATCGTAAGTAAGATCAACGTATTTATAACAGATTGTCAATTTTCATGTAAACTAATTGTAGCTTATCCCTGATGATGTTGATAACTATCAACGAAATATTGGATCAATAAAGGACTAAAGAGTACACTTAGCCTATCCTTTCAGCTGTTTATATATATATATATATATATATATATATATATATATATATATATATATATATATATAGTCAAAAAGTATCAAGCGTGCATATTTATGTATCCTTACTATTATCCCTACTATCTTATATTCTTTTGCTCGTTTTTTAGTGTCCATATGAAATTAAAAATTAATTCAACAAAACTATATTATTTTATAACTATATAGACTTTGTTGTCTAATCCCGGTATGTCTTGGTCTCATATACGGTTTTTTTTCAACTCACCAATAATAGTAATAAAAATTACACACCGCTTGTTATTAATAGTAGATTGCTATTTTAAAATAAAATAAGATGTAATTAACCTAAATGAAACACATCTTACGAATACACATTCTGCCTCAGTTATCCAAGTTACAGACATTTTTTTATTTTTGTTTTGTTTTGTGTTGCTCTACATGAATATCCTGATGCACGATTGACGAAGCTATTTTTTATTCTGCTTTTTGCCGCTTATCAGATTGCTCTGTATTATCTAGTGCACCACTTTGAAACGCTGACGTGGCATGCTTCAATTATTCGACCTCCCTGTCCTTGTAAAGTCCCCTCTAATGAAAATGATAGATTGTGTTTGTGTGTAGTTTTGTTAAGAAAAACGATTGTAAAAGCCCAACCAAATGGATTCTTGAGTATGATACGCAAGAGATTGTATCTAGAAAGCTATCGTTATACACAGCGGCCTTGATCAGCGCCTTAGTATTTTAAACCGTACAAATTAATTTTAGTGACTTTATACGAAACTATATTTTTATTAATCAGTTTTAAACACAATACATATTAGTGATATTTCTATACACACTGTACTGAATTTAGGAAAATACCTATCCGTTATTTTCATCTTGTATCCAAGGTAATTGATTTAATATTAGTTTATCAATTGCAAAAGCCTTTAAGTTGCTTATACAAAATAAAGTACTTCTATGTAATCAGAGTTCACGCAAGCCAATGCAAACAAAATTGGCGTTTTCAACTCATGCTCCTTATGTTAGATTGATTATATTATATTAGATTATGTTATATTTTCTCACATGAAGAGTAAACGGATCTTAAATGGTATAGAAAGCTATGTATGGTTCGGTTTAATGAATGTAGTTTTTCCTTGTGAATTGCCATGTTGGAATATTTAACGATACCTACGACAATATACATATAATTTACGCCAAGCATACAAAATTTATTTTTTCTTTATCAGCAAAGTATCATCAAAATGCCGTGTGTCATCTTCGATTCAATATAATTTGTCGTGTTTAGCTGATTCTCAGTGGTAATTTTTTTTCTATTTAATAAATTTCTTGAAAGGATTAAATAGTTTTGCCAACTTGGATTAGCTCCCATCATACTTTTATTTCTTAAACAGTCATTTAGTTGATAGTTTACTGAGGATCTCGTAAAAGAAAAGAAACGATAAAATAAAACCAGAACAAAGGTAAGGCAAATTGTGACATTCATGAGGAAAACAAAAACATCTAAAACAAATAGTTTGTAAATCACAAACATATGGCAAGGGGACAAATAAATAAGAGTGTCTCTCCAGTCTTGATACCCTGAAAGGAATGTCATCATGATATCATTAATGGTCCGTCTCCATGGATATCTGTCAGTTGGACAGTTGGCCTTTGCTGACTTGATGACTGGGAAGTTAAACAATCTTATTTTTAAGGGTTTTTTAAATATTGGATCTTTTCATATTTGAGTCATATTTCCCATAGCAATCTTAAAATTATAAGTAAAAGTTTACAACATCAAACAACTCACTTTTGGTTATATGCGGATGATTGTTGTGTTGCCTACCAAGTATCATGATTTTTATGGTTATTTGCATTAAGCCATATGAGATTAATCAAGTCTTTTGGCTGTAGGTAAGGAAGGCTATATTGACCTTAAAGTATAGATTGTTTATTTTTCATTTATTTATTGAGATGACCTTTTCCCATCCTTTAAGCGTTTTCCTAATATGTTGCTCCCAATGTTCTCCTTCTTAAATATATAAATATCTACGATAAGTTAGGTTACGTTAGTTATAGCTATCTACGATAGGTTAGGAAATAAAACCTTCGTTATTAATAGCAACTCAAAAATGATATGTAAACAACACCGAATCAGTTAAAATAGGTGGCAAACTTAGTGAGAAATTCAACACTACGAAAGGGCTACGACAGGGATGTTGTTTATCACCTACGCTGTTTAAAATATATCTGGATCGATCTCTACAAAAATGGCAAAGGAAATGCAGAAATATGGGAATACAAATAGATGAGGATATTCTCTATACACTATTCTTCGCTGATGACCAACTGGTGGTAGCAGAAGATATAGACGATCTCAGCTATATGGTTAGGAAACTACAAACAGCGTGCGAAGAATGTGGACTGACAATGAACTGACAAAAATGCGAATATCTCTCAGTGGGGAAAAATACAGTCGAAGACCTGATATTGGAGAGTGACAAAATCAAAGGAACAAATAGAGTAAAATACCGAGGAGTAGTGTTTACAAAAGACAGAAATATCCATGAAGAAATAAATACAAGAATAAACAAAGGCAGAAACATTACCAAATGCCTAAACTCCATTCTATGGGATAAAAAAATCACAAGAACGACGAAAAAACGAATATATAAGACGATGGTTGAGCCGGTGGTAACATACGGAGCAGAGATATGGATGGATTTTATGAGAAGAAGCTGTAGATTGACAAGGATAGACAGAATCCGCAATGAAAAAATAAAACGTAGAATGGAGCAAGAAAAAGACATTATAGATGAAGTCCAGAAAAAACAACTAACTTGGTTCGGTCATGTAAACAGAATGGCAGACGAGAGGTGGCCAAAGAAAATATTAAAATGGATCCCAACCGAAAGAAGGAAAAGAGGGCGTCCAAGAAGAAGCTGGCGAGATGACGTGAATGAAGCCATGGAAGGAAGACAGCTAAATGAAGCCGACACCCGAGATAGGAAACGAATATGTGATTGTACGGATAGAGAGGGTGCACCTGGTCTGCTGTTATATTTCTTCAAACTGGACAGTGGGTGAATACAAGATGAAGATGGACGAGATCATGCAGAAAGTGGGAAACGCAGGAGAAGAACGCGTGGTGCTCAGAGATTTTAACGCTAAAGCAGCGAAGTGGCTTTACTGGCGAATCACTGAGACTCGCGGCAGGATACTGACTGACTGGGTGGGTACTCTGGACCTGTTGGTACTAAATCTAGTTCTAGAGCCTACGTTTTTTAGGAGAGGTACAAGATTCAGCGATTCAAAACAAGTCTTTTGGCTGGTTGTTTTGATCATGTCGCTCTCAGTTTTCGTGCATATATTGTTATAATGTTATTTGTTAGCTCTGCAACTCCGTTTCATTTCATTTATTTGTGCTAAGGGGATTCTTAACCTAGTGAATATTTAAAATGTGTGATCTTGATTCTGTGTTATTTTACTTTATACAATTATTTTCTCTATAGGATTCATAAAAATCATTAGTAGATGTACAGTTAAGAATAGAGATTTTTTCTGCTTCTCGGAGAAACTCTTCCTTATTTCGTGTTGTTAACTTCTTTGTGTGATGATGGCGACTTTTGCGTATTAATGTCAGCTAAATATTTATTATATTTGGAATAGTCAGATACAAATTTTTTATATAATTTTTCTATTTTTGTATCGTCGGTAGGTATTATTGGCCAAAAACTATAATAATATTAAAGTTATGCGGTTTGGTTTCTAACTTGAGGAGATTTATTCTATCATTAACAGATTGGAACTCAACAACAGATTTTTGAAATTTAGGATTAAAAGTTTAAGTTCAAAATGGCTACACCAATGAATGACTGCACCATTTAACGCTTTGAAATGGCCGTTTCCTAGCCAGAGTGCTTTAGATAGTTAAGCAATTTGAATATGTATCGTGTCAGCTCTCTTTCAATAACTTCCAGTTTGCCAGTTTATGTTTTACCCCTGGCACGTTCTGTGTACTAAAATGCACTGTGTATCCATTTGTAACTAGTGAAGACAAGTATCTAAATTTCCACACGATGCTTGGTTGTTAGCAGTCGCGTGGCCGGTACTTAATTTTTTAATCTTTGAACCGGATCCAAGATAGTACCGGTCGTCACTCGGCCTGCGTGACAACATCCGAGGCTAATTATTAGACTACATTAGAATTGACTTCTTTGAAAATCATAATGCAGTGAATTGCCTTGTGGGATAGGCAGCAATAAATTTAATGAAATAAATGAGTTGGGTCCGTTTGCCCCTGGAAAGTGGGGTGTAGGAGAGAAACAGAAGTGGATATGTGACAGTATTTTCAAACTTTCTTAACTGGCAAAACGAGTAAAATGCCAGGGAGATAACACTAGAAAACGCATATATGAAAATATGCAAGAACTTAAATGCTTGGATATATACTAAGTAGAAACTGGCTTTAAATAAATGGTAGAGGAAAACGAAGAGGTAAACATGTGCTTATATTTCTCTTGATTCATTATATTCCGTGATAATATTTTATTTCCATGTCAATTTCTTTCCTGTACTAACTAATTTCTCTTTATTTGTGATGAGAATTTAATTCCATCTGGCTTTCATAATTTGGTGTATATTTCTCTTTTTTTTACAGTTCTGTAGTTTTAATGTAACCTCTGTGTATAATGGTAGCAAAAATATTTTATAGGATACACTTAACAATTTTAGAAATACAAATTAGGTATTGGCTTTAGACCTAGTTAGTTTAGTCACGTCTAGAAAATCACAAAATTATACTGCAAATATAAAGAGGACTAGTTATATTTTGGTTGGGCTTATGATTTATTAGTTTTGAAGAATGTGTTTCTAAACAGCATATTTCTGTTAACAGGCCAGTCGGAGTCTGGGGGAAGATCGTGGGCTCGCTATGTGCGATTGCTGGTGTCCTGACCATTGCATTGCCAGTGCCTGTTATAGTGTCAAATTTCAATTATTTCTACCATCGTGAAACTGATCAGGTGAGTACACATGTAGTAAACGCAAAACACAGTATTATCTCCAAATAGATACAAATTGTTAACAATTTGAAATGATTATTTTTACCATTATTATTGCTTTTTTTACACAAGTAAAGGCAAAGAAACATAGTAGGGAAG